TCGTGGATTAGAGACCCGCAAAGATAAAATGTGCCTTCTTATTGACATGGCAGTCCCTACAGGCTGCAATGTATCTTTGAAGTTCTTCAAAACTATCAAAATACAAGGAACTTCAAATCGAAATCTCAAAAATTTGGCACATGAGGATATCAACAATTGCAGTTGTAGTTGGATCCCTCGGATTGATTGTAAAAGACTCCAATAGAAATACATAAAATTGTTCTCACAACTATACCCCACACCTGACGAAGGGCTTTATCTATGTAAAATATGTGGGATTTTTTTCAAAACTGCTCAGTGGAAAATGTCATGATTCTATTTCTGACTCTTAGGTCTCTGTTCGGGACCCGGAAAGAAATGAGTATTCACCAAGAATCATAGGAAATAATAATAATAATAATAATAATAATAATAAGTATGCTAGGAATGACAATGAGCTGGAAGGTCTTCTGCAAACTGTAAAATGCTTCAGTGAAGACATCGGAATGAAATTCAATTTGGATAAATGTGCTAAAGCTACAGTTTTACGAGGATCGCTACAACAAACTTCCTCTATTAGTTTAGACCCTGCTGTAACAATAAAAGATTTAGAACAAGGAGAAGCTTATAAGTACCTAGGTGTAAATGAGAGTGAAGGAATTCACCATAAGAAAATGAAAGAAATAGTGCGTAAAGAGTACTATAGAAGGGTACGACTGGTATTAAAAAAACTGAATTGAATTCTCAGAACAGAATTATGGCCATTAATAACCTAGCCATCCCAGTGGTCCAATATAGTTTCAACATCTTGAACTGACTCTAAATGACATCAGACAAATGGATTCTAAAACAAGAAAGCTTCTTTCTAAGTATAAGATGCATCATCCAAAGGCTGATGTAGACCGTCTATACATACCCCGTAAAGAAGGTGGAAGAGGTCTTATTCAGCTAGAATTGTCATACAAGACAACAACTATTGGCTTACTAACTTACATGGAAACAACAAATGACTGGATGATAAAATTAGTGAAACAACATGAAAACAGAAAGAAAAATATTCAATAATAAAAGAAGGCAGTAAATACAAAACAACATTTACATTTAGTAGATTCTGTAGTAAATCAAAACAGAAGCCAAGAACCAACTATTGCAGCAAAAGATATGAAAAAGAAAGCCAAGGATAAAGCCCTTGAACAGATGAAACAACGCTGGCAAGACAAACCTCTGCATGGCCAATATCCAGAACGTGCAAATAAACCCAATGTTGATAAAGTTAATACTCATCGATGGTTACGAGCATCTGGATTAAAGTCTGAAACTGAAGGTTTTATTCTTGCAGCGCAAGACCAGAGTCTTTTCACTAGGAATTTTCAGGCAAATATCATAAATAATAATGTGGATCCAAAATGCAGGTTCTGTGACAAATACCAAGAAACAATAGACCATCTAATCTCAGGATGTTCTATACTTGCCCCAAATGAATATAAAAATCGTCACGATAGAGGGGGCAATACTTACACTGGACAATGTGCAAACACTTTGGAAAATGTGTAAGCAAACACTGGTATGAACATCGGCCAGCGCCGGTTACAGAAATAGAAGATGTCACCATTCTATGGGATTATACCATCCACACAGACAGAAAATTGAAGCAAATAGGCCGGACATCATTGTCAAAAAACCAGAAAGAAAAAAACTGCCTACTAATTGATATGGCTTGTCCAGCGGATTGTAAATATAGCAACCAAGGAATTTGAAAAACTATCAAAATACAAAGACCTGGAAATTGAAATAGAAAAATGTGAAATTGAAAACAAGAATAATACCAGTGGTAATAGGTGCACTTGGAATTATAAAAAATGGAACAAAACAACACATTGAAAGAATCCTGGAAACCCCAGCTTAAGAGACATACAGAAAATTGTCTTATTAAGTACAGCACACACACTAAGGAGAACTTTGTCTATGTAACGCTAGCAACTTCATCGGAGATAAAAAAAAAAAAAAAAATTAACATGAAATGTGGCCATAACAACACACCACGACCTGCCTTAGGTCTTTCCGCAGACTTGGTAGGTAGTGTGTCCATAGCAGAAATCGAATGATGATGATGATGACAATCATAATAATAATAATACTGTCCGGAACTGGCAAAAAATGAATCTACCCACAGACATAACAAGGTAGCGACAAATGTGCACTGGAAGATATGCAAGAAGCACAAAGTCAAAATCATTGAGAGATGGTATGAGCACAAACCAGACACAGTTACCCAAAATAACGATGTAACTATCCTCTGGGACATGTCAATTCAAACTGTCAGGGAAATAAAAGCCAACAGATCTGATATTATCGTAAAAGACAAGAATTTCAGGAAGTGTATGCTTATTGACATAGCAGTACCATCTGAGAGAAACACCTCCATGAAAATTATCAAGAAATTGTCCAAATACAAAGACCTGGAGATCAAGATTAACAGGATATGGGGAATGAAGACTGAAACTATACCAACAGTAATCGGGTCTGTGGGTCTTGTAAGAAAAGGAATGGACAATTTTACTAACAGTGCCCCAGGTAATATCAATATACAAGTTGCCGAGTTAATCGCTCTACTAAAAAAAAGTGCTATCAATTAATTGACAATTCTCCTTGAGGGCCTGAGGACCATAGTTTGGACTCGGCTCTACAGGAAACAAAACAGTAAACATAACATGCACAAATAATAAGCAAAATAATGATAATAAAAATAATAATATAATAATAACAATAAAAAAATAATAATAAAATAATAATAATAAGATAATAGTAATGAAAAAAATAATAATAATAAAATAATAACAATAAAAATAATAATAAAAATAATAATAATAATAAATAATAATAATAAAATAATAATAATAAAAATAATAATAATAATAATAATAATAAATAATAATAATAAAATAATAATTATAAAATAAAATAATAATAATAAAATAAAATAATAAAAATAATAAATAATAATAATAAAAAATAATAATAAAAAATAATAATTTAATAAAAATAATAATAAAAATAATAATAAAAAAAATAAAATAATAATAAAATAATAATAAATAATAATAAAAATAATAATAATAACATTAATTAATAATAATAATAAAATAAAATAATAATAAAT